ATTTAACAGTGGGCTTTCCAGGATGAGGCACCACACTCAACTATCTTCATTCCAGATCATTTCAGGCCAAGGTGTCTTGTCACAAATGTGTGTCAGGGCAGTTCTGGACAAAACGCCACCATGTCATTACATGTCCTCATCCCCAGGATCCCGTGCTCCTGTCTACTTTTATGAGTTCCAACATCAATCCAGCTTCTTCAAGGATTTCAGGCCACCCCACGTGAAGGCGGACCACGGTGATGAAGTTTTCCTTGTCTTTGGCAACCAATTCAGTAACATAAAACGTGAGTCTTCATGAATTTCCTTGAGCAGGACGGAGTCCATTATGGAAACCTGAAGGATAGCTGAGTTCTTAATCCAGTCAAGGGAACTAAATTCTTGAAGAAAGACAGAATCCAGTATGCACCGTCTCACAGCTCAAAGTCTATATTAGGTTGAAATCTGGAGCTTTCTGAGTCTACCTTGTGTTATTGGTAATAAGAAAATAATGGTGCAGGAATGAACCTGGCTGAATTCACTAAGAGACTTAGTCCTGGGCAGTAAAGGAGGGAACCAAATCAATCATTTAGACTTGAGTGACAGCTGGCTCGGTGGATGTGAAGCATGAATGGGAAGCTGCATGAAGTGGCTGAGACATGGGTACCTGTCCTTCTCTCTTCAGTTCCCCACACAGAGGAGGAGGAGCTACTAAGCAGAAAGATAATGAAGTACTGGGCCAACTTTGCATGCCATGGGTAAGAGGATGCCCTTCCCTCAACTTCTGCAAGGGTGGGTTGCTGTCCAGAACTCCCTTTGCTCATGGTGAGCTCCTTAGGATGTATGGTCCTTTATTGCATGAGAGAGTCTTCCCTACCCTCAAGCACACTTTGGGAAGCAGTTTACCACATAGTCAGCTGCCACACACATGGGCACGAGCCCCTATGTACATGGGCATGCACGTACACGAGCACACAAACACACACACATATACAGACTCATACGGAACACTAAGACATTTTATATATGTTTGCTACTGGTCATCTTGCAGTAAATTGGTGCATGGGCCACAGTATTGTGGTAATGTTCTTTAGCTTTTGCCTTGGAGAAGGAGGCAGAAAACAGGCCATGGAGTAAACTTGTCCCACATGGAGTAGGAAATAGTGGGTCACACTTGTATCCTAATATCAGGACATACACCCTATCAGTCTCCTTAACCCCTTGGCCTACTTCATTCACTGTCCTGAGCCAAATCAGGATCAAGTGACCTTCACTCTTCCCTGCTGGCTGGCATATCCACAGAAACCCCAACAGTGAGGGTCTACCCTGCTGGCCTGTGATGGACCATGATGAGCAGTATCTGCAGCTGGACACTCAGCCTGCTGTGGGTCGAGCCTTGAAGGCCAGAAGGCTGCAGTTCTGGACCAAGACTCTGCCCAAGAAGATCCAGGAGCTAAAGGGGTCTCAGGAGAGGCACAGAGAGTTGTAGTGCCATGTGTGAAGAAAGGCTTGTGGCCTTCATGTCTGAGGTTTGGAACACATTTTGATCCTACCATTCACATAACCATTCCTCACACATAAAGTTGTCTATTTTACCAATTTATATGACAAACCCTCTACAGGTCACAAAATGCTGCCAATCTGTTAGAGCCATTCAATAAAAGCTGTATCGATGTAGAATATGGATGAATGAGACCCAAGTTCTAATAGTTCTGGCTGTTGCTCCAAATAGATCTCAAACTACCAGCAGGTCTTGGGATATAGATTTGTGATCCTGGTTATTTAGAAACTGAGTCAAGAATACTGCATGAGCCTAGTAGTTCCATACCACCTTGAACAACATAGGAAGGCACATATCTGAGAAACAGAAATTATCACTAGCTGGATAACTTGCAAACGACAGAAATACATTAAAGTTCTGTGGAGTGAGAATTACAGGGTGAGAAAATAAACTTGAGCCATACAATCTTTGAGGGCACAGCTCCTAGACCTCTCTGATGTCAGCCACTGAACATTCCAGCTACCAAAAACCATGCCCATTGTTCCTATAGAGGAAATCTCATCTCTTTCCTTCCCAAATGGCAATTATCCACTTTCATGAAAAGCTTGACTTGATATGTTCATAGATACTTCAAGCAAGACCAGGAGTTGGGGTTGAGCAGCAGGCCCAATCAGCTTTCTCTAATAACAAATTTGCTCTTTTGCACAGGGATTCTGCAGACACTGTGAAGCCCACACTTGTATAAACATAGCACATCTGTCAAGATCTTCAGCTATGTATGTTTCCTAGAGATAATATGGGAGAGAAAAGAATCCCCGGGCATGTGTAGCAGAAGAGATTTCTGTCCCTGGCACCTTGATGGCTCCTCCATGTATGCAAATGACTTCTTGCCTTTCATAAATCCTAATAAAACCCACCTTTTCATGACATTCCATCTGCTGTTCATTCTTATGTACTTTTTGTCCTTATACTTCTCAAGCCCAGTATTACAAGGTCTATAGTATTTCATGTCATTTACACTGGTGCCAATTTGTTTTCAATATGCCTTTTGTTTCCCTGTGTTCAAA